GGGAGCGGGGGGTCGCGGGGAGCAGTGAGTCGCGGGGAGGGTGGTGTCGAAGGTCACGGGAGGCCGCGGGAAACAGGTTAGCCACGGGGAGGGTGGAGTCGGAGGTCGCGAGTAACCGCGGGCAGCGGGGAGTCGCGGGGAGATCCATGTGTGCCGCACGCGGGGATTCCCCGCCGTAACGCCTGCGCAGTGAGCAGCGGAGTTTATGGCGCCAGGTGGCGGCGGATGTGTGTTGCGCCCGTGATGGACGCGGCGGACGGGGAATATATTTGCTGTGAGACAGGGGGAGGTGGCATTGGAGGACGTCGTGCATCACTGCTGAAAGACAGTAGGTCACGGTCGTTTTTTAACTTTAAATATACTTTTGTGTTCTTCGAAACTTTAGGTAGAAAACTGCTAATGAGATTTTGAAGTATCTGTGACAGGGACTTCCTACAGGTATCCTCAGGAAACAGATAACTGAATGTTGAAAAATACTCTTTTGTAAATAGGACTATCAAATCATGGAATACGGCTGTTTTGATCGGTAGTTTTCCGTATTTTCTTCAATCAACACCAGGCGAATGCCGAAGCAATACAAACGGACCACGGACCGCGCACGATCTTTCCTTGCCCCTCTTTGTCCTATCCTCATCCCTTACTTACGCGCACGCTTCCATGCACTACACTTATGGAGATACTCGTATGAAGCTTAGAGATTGTTCAGACTGGGGCAGTTGCCCGCTAGAGGGAGATACATGGTTGGGAAAAACCGTTAGCCGACATGTAGTTGGCATCGAATGTCGGCAGCCAGCGAGAAAAGATCTCCGCGACTTCTCGAGAAAAAATGCACAACACTTGATCTTATGGGCTAATGACCTTAGAAGTTGGCGAGCTCAGAAACATCAATCAATCGTTCTATCTATCTATCTATCTATTATGTCTGTCTATCTGTGTGTCTGTATGTCTATCTGTCTTCCTGCCTGTCTGCCTGTCTGTGAGTCTGTATGTCTGCCTGTCTGCCTGCCAGTCTGTGTGTCTGTGCATCTGTCTGTATGTCTGCGTGCCTGCCTGTCGTCCATCTGCCGCTGGCCGTGGCCGCGCGCGCGAGTGACGCGAACCGCTTGTGGTGCTGCTCCGCAGGCAGAAGGCGCCGTCGGACGGCGTGTGGGTGAGCGTGGTGTGCGGCGCCGTCTCCATGCTCGCCAAGGAGACCGGCATCACCGTGCTGCTCGTCAACCTGCTCTTCGACCTCTACCGCTCCTGGCACTCCGTCAAGAGGTGAGACTCACTGCTCAGGATACTTAACACTCGGTGAACATACAGGGCTTTGGAGGCCTTAACGTTTTTTTGATACTTGGCTGTCCGAGATGAGCTACGTCACAGGCTATCCAGCTGACGTTTCAGCCATCATGTTGAGGCCTTCTTCTGAGCTATACTGATTCATTATGTACTGCAGTATAGCTCAGTTAAACAGCGCGAAACAGCAAAATTCTATTTGAATCGGGCCGCAGAATCCTTCGGCGGCTACACCACACTGTTCATAACGTTTCTACTATTGTTACACTATCAATTTGCGTCTTCTGAAATGCATTTTCTGATACGATATTGTTTAATATAATATGACATTTCATTTGCGATATATCATATTTTTTTACTGAGATATTGTTCAAACGTTTTTATGTATGGTCTAAATATTGAATTTTAGATTATATTATATCGTAATATACTTTATATATTATGAATATATAATGAAAGAATGAATAATTATATATTGAATTTTAAGTGAAATTGTAAATTTCTTTCTCAGGGCCGTGACGGAAGTGCGATGGAATGAAGAGACTCTCCAGTTTTCACGGAGAGCAGCGAAGGTGCTGGTGTCGGTAAGTAATAATCTATTTAAAATATTTCTCAAACTTTAAAGAGTATTTCCGGCTGACGTGGATCAGGGAATCAATTGATGTCACGGCAGTACCTTTGACTGGGACGTCCTAGGGTTCGAGTCCCGAACCTAAGTCTCGAGTTCGGTGGTAGGATTTTAGAAACTACCTTGATAGCTAGTTCGAATTTAGCCGCTGTTTGAAGGAGAATTCTTGAGGACGGCTGCTGTGCTCTGATCGGTTTTCCGCGGTTTCTCCGTTCATTACCATGCGAATGCCAGTGCAGTCTCGTAATAGACTAACCATGGTCCGTGCGCAATCTTCCTTTCACTTGAGCCTCCTTGTCATCCTTCTCTCCTGTCCTCTCCTTGCCCAATCCTCACCCATTACCCACTGACACATGCACTGTTTTACTACACATGTCGCTCGACCAGTCAAGAATATAGAGCGTGTTCCCGCAGGGCGGTGCTCATCTGGGGGGAAATACCTGGTTAGGAAAAAACAGCAAGCCAGCGGATAGATCAGCGCCGGTTCTCTCGAAGTCACCATTCACTTGCATACGCCGCGCCCGGAATAACTTATCAATCGATCAGCTACCTCCCACTGCATGACTAATCTCTAGCGTGTACGTCGGCACCGCATCTCGCCATCCCTTCACCGCTATTTCTGCGATAAAAATGGAGTACACTTACGGGAATAACAACCTTAGAAGTTGACGCACGCGGAATCACAAATCAGTCAAAAGTATTGATAGAACAATCTTTTAGAACAAGCTGAATTAACACAGGGTCACTGCGATGTCTCGGATCGGATCGTTTCGAGTTGGCGGGCATTAAATATTTAGCTAGGTCGCGTTCATCCACCAACTGCATAATTATAGCGGCCTGCTGCTGTGATTGGTATGTTTTGGTGATTTTGGAATGAATAACAGGTGAATACCAGGGAATTATCCTAACAAAACAGGCTATCAACTTCGCGCGATCTTGTTTTTTCATCTTTTTCCTTGCTCTCTCCTTAGACACACACGCACAAACCTATTAATTGAAATGCACTACACTAGTACATATGTCAAAAGAATCAGTTCGGAGCTTATAGTTTGTCCCGGTTCAGCCGTGCTCCGCTGAGAAAAATACATGGGGGAAAACGAGGTGTAAGTCAGCGCCGGATCTCGCTGAAAGAACCCAACCTCCCAGGATGTAAAACGTACAACACGTACAGGACTGATGACCATAGCATTGGCTGCGCCCGGAAATGCTAACTAATCAATTATGTGAGACAAACTATAAATGGTTAATTCCTACACGTCCGCTGTGCTCTATTGCCTGCTATGTGCTGGGTCGTGGGCGACCCACAGAGGCATTTGATGGGGTGCGCCGCGAGACGTAACGCAGTATTGAGCGGGTCATTGGACGGCAGCCGCCCCAGGGGCCAGATCACCGCCCACGCACACGGCCGCCCCCAGCAGCGGTGGCGGGGGCGGGGGGGGAAACACCGCCCGTAGAGGATGTTAAACCAGGCGGCTCGGTAGGCGCCCGCCGTATACCCGAGGCGCAAGACGAAGACACTAGATAACACGATCAAACAGACGCGCGTGCTGGCCGAAATCTGCGGGCGAGGCGGAGGCGGGGCGAGGCAGCGAGGGGCGAGGGAAAGAAGCCAACTCCAGTTTTGCAGGACCAGCCGATCCGACTAATGATCGCATTAATCTCGTGCTAACTAGGGGCAGGGGCGCGCGAGGGCGGCGGCGAAAACGAGTGCGTACTTCCCTACGTCATCAAACTACGTTCTCATACATCTAATCTACCCTCTATGAGTCTCCTACTGTGTCACCGCCGGGGGCCCTCATACGTGGTCTCCATCCTAATTGTTTTCTACACCAAGCTGTCGACCCGTGAATACGACGAGGCGGGCCGGACGAATGGGGGCCGATGCCTAGCAGCACCATACGAACCCCAAATCGTGCCGTGCGGCTCTCCTGAGATCACTAAGTACGCGAGATCTAACCGCCTCTATACCTCTCATCATATCAGCATCTGTACGTGCTCAGTCTAGTCCTCTACAACCTGTCTCACCTGAACCTGAATCATTCTAGTACAACCTCACATTATATGATCAGCATAATTGCATCAATCATGAATTCATAACATCTATGCTCGCTCCAATCCACTCCAGCTCGCTTCACTTATACTACAATTCTCTAGTACTCCTTTAACCCAACGACCACTCTGCATAATCCTGTCATAGCTGCTCAATCCATCGAGACGTTTCACAGGGTGAGCGAGAACAGCCACATATGTGTCACACAATCGAGATATTACTCGACTCGGCCGTGCACCACGGATTGGTTCATAGACTCATCAACATCTCACTTACTGAGCCCATGCTATTGGTACTCTCTCACGGGCGCGCACGTGTCTCATCGTCCCTAAACATCAAGCCCATTTTACACTTAACTCGCATCCAATAATCTACTTCCCTCGATATATCATCAGTTCCTCAATCAATCTCCATCCTGACACTCCTGATCACGTCATGCCCTGTCCACCCTCCAGCGCTACCTCCGAGACGCGCCACCAATAAATTCTCCGAATAATCGCACTCCAAGACCTCCTACTCCCCTCTTAATGATCTGGCGGCGGCGGTCGAACAACGACCGCCTCAACGCGGGATGCAATGATCGAGCCGGGTCGACGGTGCTGCCTCCGGCCGTTAGAGCGGGCACTGGGGACGAAGGTGGCGATGGCCTGACCTCGAGGAGGCGCGTGTGCTACGGGAGACGGAGAGGAGATGCAGGTTCATTGGACGTTAAATGCGGATAAGGGTAACCGAATATATGAGAGATATTACATGTTTTTTCAAACCGAAAAAAGAAGAATTTCAACATTAAATAGTTCTAAAAGAATGTTGTGAATAAATTCCGAATGATTACACGAAAACTTAGGAAACAATTTTTGATATACATTAAAATTAAAATAATAAATGATTGACGATAAAACAGTAACATCCACTAACCCAATAAAATATCTCAAATTCATGAGCATATATAAGTTGATAAAATTATTTCAACAAAATAGCTCGCATATCATAACATCACGACATACTTTTGTCTTTATGAGGAAAGTCAAAAAATAATAACTTATAATAAATTCATACTCTTAAAATTCCTGTTGTGCCGATTTATTCTTTTTTGTAAACTTACCAATAGTATACGGAGGAATATACATATTGTAGAGAGAGTTATGTAACGTTGCAAACATTTTTTTGCGAGATTTTAACGAAAATACAGGATTTAGGTTCCCATTATAACAAAACAGTTTTTTTCAAAACATTAGTCATATCATCGATTGAAACCTAATTGAAAATAAAAATAAAAGATGTTTCGAGATAAATCAAGTTAAAGATTTATCTGTTAAATTTGTCCACTTAATTAATACATTTCGCTATTTTGAAATAGGCTTCTTTCATGTAATGTAATTTATTATTTTTTATGAAAACAATCAGGTCCAAAAATGAATTTTTCCCTGCACATTTTCATTTTTTGGAGCTTAGGGAGAAAATCTAAATAATCTGGATTTCGGCGTTTTCACTAATAGGATATGAAAACAGTTTTAGCGACGAAAACAACTTAAAATATTGAAAATGGATTTATGATTTTAATTTATAACTCGACAGTACATAACAGCACTGAGAAATTGCACGATAACTAGAAAATCAAGTATCTGAAAAATTCGTTATCAACGAGTACAGGACATCGAGCATTCCATGTGGCATGAATAATGGTCGTCTTCTTTTGTAAAGAAGACTTTATCGATCCATTTTTTCAGCGAATTTGTTTTCATGCGATAGAGTGAGACATACTATATACAATGTATTGTTTTGTCCTATTTTCCTTCTGAGAGGTTTTAGAAGAAATCACTGCTTATGTGGTACAGCTGTCTCCATCGTCTGATACTGCCTTGTCCTGCAAGTTCCCCCATTCTATCATTAGAGTCAGTTTTTCTCTTGGATAACTAGATTCAATATAAGATAAACTTTCTCTAGATCTACTTTAGAATCAGTTTGGTCTGTTATTAGCAAAATTGGGTACTCATTACCTCACCTAGGTAGCGCCAGCTGTAGCTCGGATACCCGTAGTGAGCATCATCTGGTGGCGCTGCTCATTGAACGCGGCTCATTGAACAGGATGATAGGTAGAAGGGAACAGGTGTAAGGAGTACATCGTCTTATGCAACCCAGACAGAAAAGATGAGGATAAGAGGAAAACCTGTGACGTTGCGTGGGGGGACCACTATTCATGACACATGAGCAAACATCCTGGGCCGTGACGAAACCAACACGATTCTGCGAGAGATTGCCTCCACGATACGTATAACTACATCGTCGGTGCAGGCCGGCTACATACGACTATCTGTATATATTTTTAATCTTGATCTTGCGAAGTCATCAGATGAATATTTAACATATATTTAAACATTAGTTTTTGATTGCGCGCTCGGTTGCCACGCTGGCAGGCTTCCGTGTTCTTATCTGCCTGAGACAGCATTTTCGCTCTTTTTGGGGCGACTGACCGACAGCCCCTAGAGTTTGAGACCCGATGATGGCAAATTTTTCACTCTACTTTAACAGTGCGAGAAGGAGAATTGTACTGGGTAGCTACTTACCATTAGATTTCCACTTTCTTTCCGCTCAATGTCAGTCTACAAAAGTTTCTTCCTGCTTTGAATAAAAACACGTTTTAAACAATGTATATTATCTGTATCGAGACTATAATTATCGAATAATTATTTTAGATAATCGAGGTGTCTATGGAAAACATCATCACAAATGGGAAACATCAAAACGTCAAAAATAAAGCTCGTAAGAAATTTTAAGTAAATTTTGTCTAATGAACTCTTTCAATATATCGAATGGCTGAATCGCAATTCGTACTAAAAAGTTGGTTTGAAAAAAAACATGTTCTATGCAACAATTTGCATTGCAGAAGCATTTCCAGAAACAATCCA